TTTTTTTCTTTTTTCTTTTCTTTTCTTTTTTTTTATCTTTGCTTTTTTTTTCGGTTGGTTACTGGAATTCGTAGAGGGCGGTTCAAGGGGTTCACATATATGCGAGTATATAAAAGTTTCTGGAGTTACAAGAATATATCCACTGGAGGAGTATATATATGTATATATATAATGTACAAATAGATGTATATATAATATACGTATATAGATATAGATAATATATATATGTATATGTATAATATAAATACGACACACATAGAGAGCATGCGACACGCACGACAGGTGGACAAAATACAAAAAACGTAGTAGGTATCCCAAATAGAGTGAGAGAACAGACTCCTTGTGAATGAAACAACGAGAATCGAGACAAAATGTGAAAAGGAAGTAAACACGGTCATAGAAGAGAGTCAACTTACCTCGAGCAGCTGTTGATTTCGAATCTCCCGCTCCCGTCTCACTGCCTCCTGCCTTTCCGTTTTCTCCTGCTCCTTGATGAGCCTGCAACGGGAACACGATTAATCGATCAGTCGTTGTCGCGTTATATCGAACTCTCGACCTTCCCCCCTGGTCCAAACCTTCCTCTGGATGGGAAAGGATCTATCCGTCCCGATCTAAATACCCCCTTTTTCTTGGCAATTGAAACGAGAAGGAAAAGAAAGGAAAGTCGCCGTAGAATACATCCCTTCGTGCGTTAAAAAGCTTAAAAATGGCGGACAACTTACCTAGCCTGCTCCTTGTGCCGCTGCGCCTCCTCTTTCGCCAACTTTTTTGCGTACGCCAGTTTCTCTCGCTCGTACTGATTGTTCGTTCGCACGTCCCTGAAACCACCCGCGGCTCTCAGCTCCTCCAATCTTCTCGCGACTTCCTGGGCGCCCAACCTAACGAATTCCGCCTCCGCGAGGCCCATCGTTGGCTGCAGAAACTCGCCCACAAGCGGACGAGACGAGAACGAAAAGTGTGCCGTCGTTAGCTCGGGCGGATTCTGTTGCTCCAAAAACTACAAAACCCAGTTGCACGCGATGCAGTGATACACAGGGGTACGTGTGGCACTTAGTAGTCGACGGGCTCCGCGGTTCGCGGGCAAGTAAAATCGACGGAAAAGTGACGAGGGGTGAGAGAAAAATGGCGAGGGGCAAAGGGGAAAAATTGAAAGAGGAGTCGAGGAATAATAAAATGGGAAAAAAGAAATTTCGTTCGGTGACGTGAACTAACCTTCGCTAAATCCGGACTGCTTCTGAACGTCTTTCCACAAGGACTATAATAAGACACGTCACCCTTTATCACCCCCGACTTCCCTAATCCTTTGATGACGGTCTCCCGCTTCCAGCCACGCTCAAGCGGCACCTGGAGATCCCTCTCGCTGGGCTTCACCTTTCTTCTCTTTGCGCTGGACACGCCATCCGCGTTGTCGTCGTCGGTATCCGTCACAACGTCGGTGTTGCTGCCGCTTTCGCTCGTCACGTCCATGTTGCTCTCCTCGCCGGACACCTCGAGCAGCTTGTTCTTCATCTTCTCCTGCAAAGACCGCTATATAGGGAGCATGGTTTTAGTGAGAAATCATAAGTGAAAAGAAAAAAAAAAGAGAGAGAGAAACAGTGTGCACTGCTCCGTCTTGACTTTTCGGCGTCTCCCTTGATCCGTGTGACAGAGGCCGTGGCTGCTCCACAGTTCGATTCGGTTGCAACCGAGTCCTCCGAGTCGAGAGCGAACGTGTGGTAACGGTGTGCGTTAAGATCGACGAAAGCGAGACAACCACAGCTGGTCGAACTCGCAAACGATAGGGAGAGAACGTGTCGCAGAATACGAGAAGGTAAGAGTTAGTCGGTAAAACGTGTGATCGGAAACTTTACCTGGTTCTTGTCGTCGCTCTGTCCGGAGGCATGCAGCTGAGCAGCCAGAATGTTAGACCTCAGTAACGAGACCTGATGAGACAATGGCACGCTGGGGTCCAAGGTGGTCGTCTGTTTCATTCCCAGGGCTCTGCTCTGAGCCAGCAACGAGGCCACCGTGTTCTTCTTCGGTTTCGATACCCCGCGACCCAGGTTCCTTGGCCGACCGTCTTTGTGGTGAGTCGTGCTGGCGCTCTCGCTCTCCTCGCTTCCGCTGCTCGGTCGTTGCGGCGAGTCCGCCGCGGCGAACAGCTGCGCCAACGACGGACTCGAAGATGCTGGCACGGGTACAGAGTTCTGTGGCACTCTTCGAGGCTTCGGTCCGGGCTTTCTTCTCGCTGCGGCGTGGAAACGTGCACAGTTTACGCGAAAGATTTCTTCGGATTCTATTCGAGCGTACGCGACCCGGCTGACTTGGTTTCGATACCGACCGATTTTCGGCTACGAACGAAGTTACTTACAAGTTCGATCGGTGGCGAGTAACGACTGACTTAAATTACTCAGCTGACTGAGCGGCTGGCTGCCGGAAATCGGCGAGCTACTGCTCGTCGTCGCGGGCTTCAGCGAGAGGTTCAGTGGTGCGTCCGAGTCGTTGGAATTGCTGGCGTTGGTGGTGGTCGTGTACGACGATGGCGCCGGCAGAACAGAGCCGTTCGTCGAATGTGCCGGCAATTTGATCACCTCCACGCGATCCACCGACTCCCTGTAATCGTTCGACTCGGTCTGAAAGAAATTGCAACGCCGACGTTACTCTCCGTGTCATCTTTAAAGTCCACGTGTTCCACATTTCACATTCCTCGGAAACCGAAATCTTTCCCTACTTTACTTTTTCCTTTCTCTATTCCATCCTACGAACGTTCGAATACGAAATTCGCGGCTCGATTCTCCGAAGTAAATGGATAATTACCCCCGTGCGATTGTACTTTCTCGGCTCCATCATCAACGACGACGTCGTCGTGTTGGTTTGATGAGCGCTCAGAGCTGGTATCGGCGGTGGATGAACGCTGACGCTCGGCGTGTCTAAGGATATAGTCTTCTTCCTGCCGCGGTTCGTTGTGCCAGGAACCTTTGGACCGACTATGCTCGACGTGTACTTGATAATCTCTGTGTCTGGAGGCAGCCGGACACCTCCTAATATACTGCTAGGGTCGCTAAATGGATAATCACTTATATCATTCAACTGCTTCGTTATCGCTATATCCGAATGATGGAATATTTGCGAACGAGATGCTTTTACTCGAATCCACGCGTCTGACAGCTCATTGAGGACACCACTACCTAGGACGCTGAGCGAATCGCGACGGGCAGAAATTCGTAATCGTGAATAGGCTGCGTGATTCCGAAGCAGACAATCCTCGCAACGGTAGAACGAAAAGAAAATGCAAAGGGTCGAATGTAATCGGTGTCCACAAAGGGCTAAACGTTCACCGCGCGTAAACACTTTTTTCCACGGCTATTTTAAATATTAAATGCAACGAAACGCGTGACTAGTTAAAGGACAAATTGTTTAAAACGGCGCGACGTTAAGGGCCATCGAGCAATTATAACAACGAAATTACACGGTTACAAGCATCGTATGAAAGTTAAATGAACGGGAGAGAGCCGGCAGCGTGGAATTCACGGGTAGAAGAGAGAGAAAGAGAGAGAGAGAGAGGGAAACAGCGAAAAATACCCCGTGAATTACGAATAATAAATATCGATCATACGAGCATTTCTTTCGATTCGTTTTCTATCGTTTTTGTACCGTTCCCTTCCCCCCCCCCCCTCCTATTTTCTTTGTTTTTCTTTCCGTTTTTCCCCTTTTTTCGGCCATTTCGCGTATCGCTTTTTATTCGTTCTCTCGTCTTTTTTTTTTTTATTCCCCTTTTCTAATTGTTTCCTTTCTTTTTTCATTTCTTTTCCGTTCATCGTTGTTATTACCGTGCGTTTCTCGTTTTTGTTTTTGTTCATTCTTAACGATCTCTCACCTGCCCTCTTTCGCAGAACTGTAGGCGTATCGGCAAGCGTGGAAAAATAATTAATGGGAAACGGTAAGTGCGCTGTGCGGACGCGGGGCGTCTGTTAAAAAATAATGAAAACCGGGGAAAAAAAGAAACATCGATTTAACGAGGGTGCACACTCGTACCTGACAACGTTCGTTTGCGAATTCGGCGTGCTGCTGGCCGACGTGCTGTGATGAGAGGACGTGACCGGTGCTTGAGTCGAGACCGGCAAACTGCTGCTCGTCATACTAGGCGTCGTCGAGCTGCTACTGCTCGCTGGCGTCTTGTGACTCTTGCTTGACTTAGCTTTTGTTTCATGAGCAACAAAATTTCACCATTCGTCATTTCGCTCGTTTCTGTTTTCTCGAGGAAAATATTCCAGAATATTCGAAGAGAACGCGATGCCATCGAGGTTGACAGCGTTCGGACAAATCGCAAGCTTTACAGGAAGGAGTAACGCGCGAGCTTGGCGAATCGGAAAGTAACGCGTGGAAGTAAGGCAGATGCGGGGGTAAATGCGAGGTAAAGTTGCGATACTTACACTTACTGGACTTGTGAGACGATAGGGACGGGGGATTAAGTAGAGAGGCAGGATAGGGTGGCAGCAGGCTCTCGGCGCCAGGCGGAAATCCGGGCAATCCTGCAGCTCCTTGTAACCTCGCGAGGTAGTCCTGTGCGGCTAAGTGTGACGCCATCGTCCACCATGCTGCACTAGCGGGATTGATACCTGATGGAAATTCGAAATTAGTAATCCGATTCGCGCGTCAATTATCAGATAGCCGTGAAATCGTGAAATTCTCGTTCTCCATAACGATGTTCAACCTTGCTCGCGATAGGCACGAGTTAATCGCTAAAATTCCCAGCATCCCCATACATCTACACGATCAATAAGATGCGAGTCTTTTGTACGACTCGTGGATAACAGGATTCTACGCGGGCTAAATGGTCAAGGCATTGCATATTTGAGAACCCTCCGCGGTCTAAATCTCATTCGACATTCTACCCCGACTGATCCTCAGTCGAGCACCTACTTCGAAATGCTATTCAAAGTTCGGCTCCGTTGACACCGATACTGGAGCAAATTTCAGTGAAATTACATTACGCTACAAAAGGGTAGCCTTGTGCACTAAAACCAGCGAATCGAACCGTAGGAGTTCGAGGTGCTGACGTTTCGCGAAATCCGATTAAATTAAGGAGGATCGATCGAGGCAGAATGTCAAGCGCAAACCGACACAGGACGTTGGACAATTAAAAATACAGCGCTGATTGAAAATCGCTGGTCAACAGTACGTGAACCATTAACAAGTCAAAACGATCAACTCCGCCTACTGAATTGATTAAAAATTTGATTCCCGATGCTCTTTGATCGATGGTGAATTTTCAAAAATTTGGAATAAACCCGTACTTTCCGTTTCCTGCAGTTAATGGAGCGAAATTAATCCGATCAGTGACCAATTCACGCGCTATCTGGCTCATCTGAGAATAAATATAAAAAGAGAAAATTACCTAAACTCGCAGCCTGACTGGCAGCTACGCTCAGGGTACCAAGGCTGTTGTGGGAGTACGGGGGTGGCGGCGGAGCGGAAGCCGGTGTGTGGCCCCCGAATCCGGGTGCAGAGCCTGCACGGCCCAGAATGGCGTAAGCCGATGGTAAATGATGGGCCCCCAATCCATATCCGCCCGGCATCCCGCTGAAAAGCGACGAAGCTGCACTGTCGCCCCGTGGCCAATACGCTGCAATCAAAATCGAATCCACGATATTTCAATTACGCCGCGTTCCCAGTATTTGCACGCAAAACATTATCGGTCAATTTTCTTGAAAAACAAACTTCGCTGGAGCAACGCGCTTTTATGATAATGCCGATGCCGATCCTCCACGCTCCTTCGTCCCCGTTGCCAAGTATCGCGCCACGGATTTGTGTGCTTTGCGAACCGATCCTGCGCAGGACCCTCTTTCGAAGGGGGGTTTTGTATTTGCAAACGGAGGGGGGGAAAAAATCGAGAAGGATGTAGAGTCCCGATTTATTCCGCGAGATGTACGCGTCGCGACGAGCGGAAATTGCACGCGCGATCGAGGCTACCGATCATCGATTAACGCTCGGCAAATGAGCAAGCAACGTATCGTTCTGGAAGGAAGCCTCGAGACGTCCAGGAGGGATCTAATCTCGAGATTTACATGCTCTGTGACCGATATTACAACGGTGTTACAACCTCTCGAGATAACCGACTGATCTACGGTTATAACTTTCAATGGCGGCTATACTGGGACCATCGGGGACCACAGTAATGGCGACTGAACTAGACGTTCGATTAGACTTTCGATAAACTTCGTTTCATGTCTCAGCCTCGCGAATTATCCGGAATTGTCTTTAGCTGAAAAACTTGCTCGCTAATTACAACCTCCGCGTTATTTTCAAATTCCCGATAATCGCGTGTAATCTAACGTGACGAAGATTTGACGTTTGCAATAATACATATTAATATATTAACACGATATATATTTAAATACCGCGATCCGACACGGCAAATGCCGCGTTTTGGTATTTATCGCGGAGAATACAGCGAATTTCGATTCTATTATTCCATTTGTCGTCATCGTGGTAATTGATAAGTTCCGCGCATATTTGTCGGAATTTTTAATCAACAACGGAACAAAAGAGCATAAAAGGGGCCCGGGATTTTTTGTTATCGAAATTCACGGCAAACACTGTGCGAGCACTTTGATTCGTATTCGGGTAAAGCGACGCTTCGCGTACGCGCGTACACACCAGTCGGCAATTCGAGTTAATTAACCAATTATCCGCGAGCGTCATACGCAATTGATTTACCTGCCGGAATTAAATATAGCCGGTGTGTAGTAACCATAATTCGGGGCTCGCAGAGAGGCGGGCTCGTACGGCGAAAATATTTGTAAAGCCGGAAAACGAAAAGATAATTCGCCAAATATTTCGCCCTCGTTATCGCGACCCGCTTTAATGCGCGGTGAAAATTTTGCTGGCCCGCGGAAAAGTTCGCAGCGCGCAAGGAAAAGCTCGGATCGCCGAGCTACGGAACGCGGGGAACGGAAGCGGACGGAACAAAAGCGAGCTGAAAAATAAATCATTGTCGCGTTTGAAAAATGAAGCGTTATTATCCGGCCGCGATTCGACAGGGTTGAAACGGGGTGGGAATCATTCGATGGCCGGGCGTGTGATTTAAAACGCGCGTTTTGAACGGGGAGAATCGCAATGGCCGGCGACGATGGGGAAACTGCGTGAAAATAAAGAAAACCTCGGTACGAAGATCAAGCGATGTTGAAAATAAGATACGTCTTAACGAATATGCAAAAATTGATGGCTTAGAAGAAACAGATATATCTTTAAGCCTTTACGTTCGAGGATTTTTTGGCTAAAGAAGGGTACGAGTTGACAAATTTTCTGCTATAAAGCTGATGATACTTTTTGAGTAGTAAATAAGAAATTGTATAATAATTGACACGTAGAATTATTTAATTTTGATTCCTCGCAGGCTGTTATATTATTTTAAATTTGATATATTAATTAATATCGAGCTTCGAAATTTTATCAAAATGGCGACTGAAACGCGCCTCTCGAGTGCAAAGGGTTAACTCTTTGCGGCACAGGATTTCAGATTGTTAAAAATAAGATACGTCTTAACGAATATACAAAATTAGATCTCTTAAAAGAAACAGATATATCTTTAACCCTTTGTTCTCGAGGATTTTTTGGCTAAAGAAGGGTACTAGTTGACAAATTTTCTGCTATAAAGCTGGTGATACTTTTGGAGCAGTAAATAAGAAGTCGTATGATAATTAACACGTAGAATTATTTAATTTTAATACCTCGCACGCTGTTACGTTATTTTAAATTTGATATATTAATTAATATCGAGCTTCGAAATTTTATCAAATGGCGACTAAAGGGCGCCTCTCGAGTACAAAGGGTTTGTTATGGTAAAATTCAATAGTGCAGTAAACTCTATATTCCAGTGGTGTGGGGGTGATCCCTTCCCCTGTGTTCTGTCTTTTGTCACCAGTCTTCTGAAGACGACTTTTGACCTACGTGGCCCTAAACAGGCCAACTAACCATTCGCCCGTTCAATAAAGATCTATACAGTTTTTCCACAGTTTTCCACTGACTACTACTGCTTTGCGTTATAACCCCTTTAACAGGGTTAACTCTATGCGGCACAGGATTTCAGATAATACAGTAGACCCATGTTGCATAGAAATTTGATTGCCTTTTAAATAAAACAAAATTGTTATATTTTTACTAATAAAATACTATGCGTCAAAGAGGGTACAGGAACGCGTGAAACGTCTATTTCATTAGCGTTAGATAGGAATTAGGGTACCAGGACGAGCTACCACTCGCATACCCTTTTTCTTCGCTCTAGCTTTGACTCTCCATGCGAACAGTCAGAATACTCGAGATATACCTTCCTTAAGATAGAATAAAGATAATTATAAAATAAAGGTAGTTATTTCTTTCTATCCCAATAAGCGATTCATCGTTGGATTATCGGAATTAAGATCGAGGGTAAGAAACGTAAAAGGCGGAACAAGATTCGACTTTTCGCATTTTCTCGCGCGTAATTTCGCTGGATAATCTCGCGAATGAAATCGTGCCGCTGGCTGGGTTAATTGGAATTATCAAAATAGCGACGAGTTATGCCTATCGAGCCGGGGAATAATTAAAGCGTTAGGTCGTATCGGCGTATCGTAAATGATCGCCGTACGTAGAACAGGAAGCGGGGAAATAAATTGCGGTGTACAACCTGACGGGACTCGTTATGATAATGCCGTTTAGACGAGCAGGATAAGAACCAAACGCCGGATGCCGATACTTTCTAATTTTCACGAAGTGCTAACGATTTTCATTAGACCCTTCTTCGAGCGCGCAGCGGTGATTAAGTATCGCGGATATGCTCAGCCCAGCTGAAATTACCCTAAACCTCTGCTCTATTGCGCCTTCTCGCCTTCCGGTAATGATAGTGGCTCGACTCGCGATCCAGTTGCGTATACACGGGGTCATCGTTTTTCTCCATCGGAATCGGCCATGGATAACCGTAAATATAGTCCAACCGAGTCAGATAAACCTTGTCAACGATTTGTTTGTTCCACGACAAAACGTGAACTCGATTAACGACTAGACCTTCCTAGCTATTACAGATTCCAACCTTATCGGCTCCTTTTACGCGTGCAATCGAAAAATTGTAAATGCAAGAGTATGTAAGAGTATGCGAGCTCTGGTTACCGATAAGGTGACACGAGTGACGAGCACGTAGCAGTGATAACCAGAGTCTCGAAACGAAGAGGTGATCTGGTTGATTAACCGTTTGAGTCCCAAGCAGCAACTCCTTTTACGCGTGCAATCGAAAAATTGTAAATGCAAGAGTATGTAAGAATATGCGAGCTCTGGTTACCGATAAGGTGACACGAGTGACGAGCACGTAGCAGTGATAACCACAGTCTCGAAACGAAGAGGTGATCTGGTTGATTAACCGTTTGAGTCCCAAGCAGCGCGATCGCGCTCTTCGGATTTTGTGTCGAAAAATCCCAATACATTTTGAGCGATATAGAGAATTGACAGTGCTATCACTGATTGTCGAAGTGGCAAGCTCAACTTTGCTGATGCAGGTACGTCACATAGCACTAACAAATGTTTATCGCGACGATTGGGATTTTTCGACATAAAATTAAACACGCGATATCGCGGCGTTCGGAGTTTTCAACCGTGTTCTTCCAAAAGTCTCTGGGACTCAAACGGTTAACAAAGGAGGCCCACCTTTAAAAGGGCAGCTCGAGCAGCGAACCGCGGAGTTCTTACATGAGAGACGAGAGCAGTGTGTGAATAACATATCCAGAAGAATAAAGCATAATCAGCCACCGAGTGATAGACTCATTTTAACTCAGCCCTCTTCTGCTCCCCTTACAAAATGACGAAAACCGAGATACGAAACCTTTTTGAGTTATTCCAACATTCGTTGACAGACTACCTATAACGGAAACCCGATTTAATATTCGCAGATAATAGTAATTAAAGAGACATAACGAACACAAACAAACGCGATAATCGAACGATCTTCCTTAGAATTCCGTTCGCGTATCGCTCATTAATTAGCCATGACAGAGAAGCCAAGTGAAGAACTAATTCTGTCTAAATCCAAATAATTTTTCTGGAATGCCAAAGACACTCTTTTCTTGCTGCTTATCCAAACGAAGCAAAAGCAGCAAAAGCTGCGGAAGTATTTATCCAGAGGACGCGAGATTTCGCCCCGCGAGTCGCGAGACCGCTCGAAATGCTCGCGGAATGGCGAGAGGCGAGAAATCGGTGCCGGATCGATCAGAAAATTCTCGACACCCGGATGGATCGAAGGATCGCGCAGGTTCATCCGGTCGGGCTGCTCGGGGCTCGTGTGTTTGTACAATTTATCGTTACAAACGTGGCCGCAGATGTACCGTTGATTTTCTACGAGTACAGCGGCCTTGAGCAAGGCCGTGGCATTGAAATCCAAGCGCCGCTTTAATTTATACCGGTCGTTGAACCCTCGGCTGGCTTACACGACTACTTCACCGACTGAGCAACTGCATAATACTCCGGCTACATATATACCACGTGTTCGCGTACACATGCGTGCACGTATGCGCATACATAGACCGGGCGTGCACACGCGTGGTACGCAGACAGGAGATTGAAATTTTATCACGATTTTTGTTTCCATCCCTCTTCCCT